TCTAGACCTCAAGCTCCACGAATAGGTGCTATGAAGGTTCCATAGGAGGGTGTTCATGTGTATCCATGCTTAGTCCGCAATCTCGCTGCTAGAGAGGAGACACTCAGCCATAATCATACAAAAGATAGCAACCCTACGCTCCGCCAACTTGAATACCTTCGGGATGATATCTGTTGCTCATACATTAGCCGTAGTTTCTGCTTCGCCTCTGCCCCTCGTATGCGTCCTTTCCCGCAGTGTTTCCCTACAGTTAACATGTTCTCCCAAATCTCAAAAATAAATATACCTCAGGCCCGGCCGACGAACCTCCATCCTACGGCTCGACGCGAGCGTCTACGCCTCGACACGCACGCGGACGACGGCCCGCCCACGGAGACACCATTGACGCCGTCATCGAGGCCGTCGACCGGCGGTTCAAGGAGCGCTACGAGCGAGCCTACCAACGAGCGCTTGCGGCCGCGGCGTACGGATCATCCCCCTCGAATGGCGCAGGCTCACAGGCGCTGCAGGTCCAAGGAGCCCGAAAAAAAGGCCACCAAGAAGCGCCGCGCCGCCGTCGAGCCTACGACGTACATGTACGTTCTCTCTCGAAACGAAACTAGGTCCCAGCCGACGATGTATGCGTAGGCCACGACCGACCAAGAAGGCGAAGACCGACAAGAAGGATCTCGCCGACCTCAAGGCCGAACTCGTCGCCTTAATCCAATCCCAAGGAGCTGCCCACGCGGCCGAACTTGGCCGTGTACAAAACCGACTCCATGCTAGCCAAGCCGCCTTGGCCCGAGTCGAGTCAAGCACGATGGAAGCGGTACGTTTTACATTGCGACAATACGTACGCAACTCACTAGTACGCTACGTAGATCGACGCGCAAGCAACGGAAATTCTTGCTGGCCAAACCGAGCTGCGTCGTGGGCAGGTCGCTGTGGCGCAGCACGTGACGAGCGAGCGCGTGGCGACGGTGAAAGCCATGCAAGCGGTACGTTTTTTATTGCGATACATCGTACGCAAAATAGAAATACGCTACGTAGGTCCAGCAGCACGAGGCCGAGCTACCTGCCATTTTTCTGTCCCATTGCATTTTGACGGCCGACATGGTCGAAATCCCGGTCGATATGCTCGAGCCGATCCCGGACGCCTACGATGGCGATGTTTTTTTGTATCTGGTCGACACGGTGACCAACCGGGTCATCGTGGGCGACCCGTACCCACTGCGCGTCCCGCATGGGTCGCGGCCCCGAGAAATCTGCCACAACGCGATCAACTGCGTCATGTCCTGCTGCCTCCCGCTGGTGGCCATCGGTGCCGGGGTAGTGTCCTTGCTCGGACTTGCACCGACCGCACCGTCCGCCGTCCGTAATACCAAGTTTCTCGCCGAGCACGTCGTCAGCTGGATCTTGCCGGTGCCGTCGGCCCAAGATGCCCGCAAGGGCTTGCGAATCCAAGACATCATCAAGCTCGGCGATCCCGATCACAAATACGGCGGCAGCACGACCGTCATCAACCAAGACGGCGACAAGGTCCTCCGCGGCACTGCGGATAGCATTGCAACCTACACGCGCGAGATGGCGGTGAAGGCCGGCGACTCTGTCCGCATGGCGTAAGATGTTTTTCCCTTTAGTAATAACCAAATTGACACCGAATTCAACCTTCAAATCAATGTATTCTTTTGTACCGAGATTTGAGTCCTAGAGAGCCCAACGAAACCCTGCTTGCAAAATTCTCCAAGCAATGATGCGACGACTGCTTCCAACGTACTACTGACGATACCGACGGCGAAGGCCTCCACGGCAATACTGGTGTTGCATCTGGCTGATATCGTTCCGATAGCTACCCTGTCGCTCATACCCTCATCGTCGTTCTCAATTGAGTTTCATTCTCTTTGCTCGCGTGTGACTGGATTCACGTAGCTTGCGGCGCTGTACCGGTACGAGGATGGATGTGGGCCGGATCCAACTCGCCCGAGCTCCACTTCAAATCATGATGCTAACAGAATGGGGTGGCACTATCGCTGTACGTATCCGGTACTGCAAGACGGTGGACAATCAAGCACATGAGCCATCGGTGCATGGACGCAGCGACACGATCTAGGCGATCTTTAGCGCTTGGTCGTCGAGTTGTCCCTGCCACTGTGTTGGATTTGAACGGGACGATGCGCACCACGCCCTACACTTGACGTTGGTTTTGAGCAGCTTTCTAGTTGAGGGCCTCAACTAAGCTCGGGTCAGCTCAATTCCCAACCGACCGACGGCAACGCCTCTTAACGAAAGCGCGCCAGAGCTGTGGGCTTTCGTCGCCGTGATTGGTTGCTTTTTGACCAATTCCACGCTGTGGATTGGCCAACGTCGATGCAAGGGCGACTCAAAGTACCTTGATATATGTATTTGAATCGATTGCCGAAAAGCCATTGGCCAAAACTACTCCATTCCACTTTGCCCTTGCACCACCGCAACCACGCACGGAAGCATGGGGCACCGTGGACGCATGCCGCACAACAACATCATGTCGAGCAGCGACACACTCAAGATGACGGGCATCTGGAAGAACACGATCGGATATGACCCGTACGCGGCCGATGTACGTCGCCCTCGAGCCTTCCTCGCAGCCGCCTCATGGCCACGATCCTACAACTAGGGCGAAGGCCAGGACCCAGGCCAGTCCGCGTCCTCGATCGAGCGCGCCAAGGGCTTCATGGCGCTCGCCAAGCTCTCCAACAAGGCGGTACGTCCTGCTTCTAGTCGCTGGGCCATGCCTCACGTTGCTGCCTTGTAGAACGACACACGTGGCTCGTGCAAGAAGGTACTACACGTCGCCGCATTCCGCGCTCGCCTCTCATCGACCCATGACCTAGTGCGGCGCCATGGGCCATTTGACCTTTCAGTGCATGAACTTTCTCGACCAAAGCGCCAACCAAAAGAAGCTGGTAGATGCACGCGTCCATGGATATGGAATGGGACGAGCCTGCAACTCGCGTAGGCGGCCGAGAGCAGCAGCGACGACGACTCGTCCTCGTCGTCCGAGAGCGAAAGCGAGAGTGACCGCGGCCGCCGCCGACGTCGGCGCAGTGTGAGTGTGAGCCCAAGTCGCGCGTCGAAGCGGCGCAGTCGCAGCCCCAAGACTCGCAGTCGTAGCCGCAGCCCAAAAACGCGGAGCCGCAGCCGCAGCCCCAAGGGTCGAAGCCGCAGCCGTAGTCCGCGCGCGAAGCAGTCCAAAGAGTCGAAGAAGAAATCGTCAAAGAAGAAATCATCGAAAAAATCATCCAAGCACAAGCGCCGCAAAGAAAATCGAGCAAGAAGTCGTCTCGGTCGCACCGCGATTAGACACTAACGTCCAACATACTGTACTACTGCCTCCTGACCTCCATTGTTCAAGTGTCTCGACTACCAACTACGATGACAAGTCCCTCTTCGTCGCGCTGTGTCTCGATGTTCTAGCATCGCAGTCGCTTCTCAAATGACCTCAAAATCACTCGCTCGCATCCATGCACGAGGCGACAAGAAGCAGCAGGTCGGTCGCATCTCGATCGCTCTCATGTGGTCCTCATGCCCTCGATCAAGGTCCTTGCTACAGCAACCAGCGTCGAAGGTCGCTATGTCGTGTCGCAGGTGGGACCAGCGGGTGCCACGTCGTGGCGGTGGCAGGCGGGATGTGGCGCATGGCGGATTGGCCGCCGCATCGCATCAAGCAAGCGTAGACACTACTGCTGCTCGAATTTGCATAGCTAGTACGCCGACAGGATGTCACGACCCTCGCAGGTGGCATGGCGGTGGCAGCGTCGGTTGCGTGTGCCAAGACACGGTACTTGACATTTGTATGCTCGAGGAAATGAATGTGGCAACTTTGCCTCGACTATCATCCTTCTTTTGGCGGAGGCAGAGATGGTAGCCTCGTCGTCGGTCGAGACCGTCCCCGGAAGCATCGAGACGGGCGACGCTGCGTACGTGTACAAGGGACACCTTGTGCTCTCGTTCGACGATGAGACTGCGCCGTCGCATGGCAGCGTGTGCTGCTGGCTGCGCCGGTCGGGCGCGCTCACATGGGCGGCGCCCGGGCAGGACGTCCGCGTCCTCGACTGCCAGCTCGCGTTCGCCGACGACAAGGACTTTCTCAACGAGCGCTTCTTCCTCTCGACGCCATCCGGGCAGCTCGTGACGGCCACGACCAAGTCCGCGGCCGACCGCGACGCGTGGCTTCTCGCGCTCCAGCTCGTCCTCGAGAAGCGCGCGACGCCGAGTCCAGCAATCGTCGAGACATCGCTGTCGCAGCGCACAGCCAGCGCCGATGCGATCCTCGCACGCTTCCGCGACTGGCACAACCTACTCGCACTGCAGGCGAACGACCCGTTGGGACTCTTCAAGGAGACGCGCCATTGGAGCCGGCTCGGGGCCAAGGACAAGGCTGCGTACTACGACTTGCAGGCGTACATGGATGGCGGTGCCATCGACGTCTGCAGCCTCGTCGCGGGGCTCTACACGTACTCGACGTCGCCGTTCCTCTTTGTCTCGACGCTCGCGCAACTGGCGGTCGTCGCCGAGTCGGACGTGGCGCATCTCGGGATGTACTGGCCGCAGATTCTGCACTGGGGCTTTGCCCACCTCGCGTCGTGCCAGTCGATGGCCATGCAGCTCTTCTACGTGCTCTTCCTCGCCAGTGTCGGGCGCCGATCCACGGTACTGGCGCTTCGGACGCATTGGGACGCAGTCGCCGCGCGCACGGACGGCGCCAAGGCTCACGACGACGACGCCAGCTTTGGAGCGTCGCTCATGCAGTTTTACGGTGTGTACGTGGGGCTAAATGCGACGGCGTCGACGACCGAGATGGCGAGTCTCGTGCTTGGGCCGACGACGTCCGACCACGACGCGATGCAGCTGCTCGACCAGTTGCTGCATACGACGCAGGCGCTGCGATTGCACTCTCGGTCCAGTTCCGTCTTTGGCGCGTGGCTCGGAGCTCTGACACTTTCCGATGTTGCTGCCGTGGCGACCCACCTCGACGCCAACCGGTTCCTGCCACCCTTTCCCGATGCATCGAGCCCGATAGCGTCCGAGCCGGTGCCGGATCTCCGCCGCATGCTCGTTCTGCCGGGCGACGACGACGAGGCGTTTTTTGCCGACCTCGACGACGTCCTCGCCGAGATGCCACCCGAGAATGACGCGGCTGATGCATTGGACGTGTTTAGCGACACGGTGCACCTCGTCCAGTCGCTCGTCGTCGCGTCGCAAAACTTCAAGCGCCAGTTCAATTCCGGCAAAGACCGGAAGGCGCATCTCCCACACGTGCTTTCGCGGCTGAGCCTGCCGCTCTCCGTGCACGACGACACGCAGAAGCGCGTCCGAAGCATCGTGCCCACGGAAGGCACCGTGTTCTCGACGAAAGCCCGGGCGCCGACAATGGTCTTCTTTGAGACGATCGCGGTCTCCGAGACAACGACGGCGCGTCATCGATCCGACCCGGTGAATGACGCAGCGCCGACATCGTACCTCCTGGATGCATTTCTGGACGCGGACCTCGGGCGCGACCGTCGATTGTCGGTCGCCGGTCGCAGCCACAGCCGAAGCACGCCCCGTCCGAGTGAAGACTGCATTGGCGTTGATCGGTCGTTTGTGTCGGACTGTCCGGTCGCCCTCAAGCTCCTAGAAGGCGAGGATGACAACGATAGCAGCTGCAACAACAGCAAGACGATGATGGTGGTGGTGGCAGAGGCCAACCCAGCCGCGACAGAGTCGTTTCAGGAGAAGCGCACGCGGCTCCAAGCGCAGAGCCTCCACCGCTCGGTACACCCTTTGATGGTAGCGCGGTGGATGCAGATCTGTGAACATAGGAACTGGGGTGGGACCTTGTGCCGGTCATTGCCAAGAGCTTTGACGACATGCGTCAAGAAGTGTTTATCATGCAGCTTTTGCACATCTTTCTCGAGTGCTTTCGCGAGACGGAGCTCTTGCTGCGCCCGTACACGTACGTGTCGGGAGGATGCAATCATTTGGTAAGAGTGATGATGCGCTAGCATTCTCTGCTGCGGCGACGACTGCGGGCTCATGCAAGTCTTGCTGGACGCCGACTCGGTCTCGGACGTCAAGAAGCGTCATCCAGGAGTGTCTCTCGACGCCATCTTTGCGGCGCGGTACCCGACCCGCGAGCGGCTGGCGGTGCGTGCCTTTCTCAGTGGGTTGGTTGGTGGCTGACTGGATGTGGTAGGTGGCCCGAGATAACTTTATTCGGTCCATGGCCGCGTACAGTCTCTTTTGCTACATTCTACAAGTGCCCGCCTGCGTCGTTTGGACGAGTCTCATGCTATTGCCTGCTGCGATAGATCAAGGATCGCCACAACGGCAACGTCATGCTGCACGTGGACGGCACAATTCTGCACATTGATTTCGGCTTTGCGTTTGGAATTGCTCCGGGCGGTACGACATATTGTCCATTGCACTAGCTTATTTTGTGTCTGGGACCAGGTCGTTTTAGCTTTGAGCGAGCGCCGTTCAAGCTCACGGAAGAAATGGTGCTCACCATGGGCGGCAAGGAAAGCCCGGGCTACCAGCGTTTTCTGCGGCTCCTCGGCGACGGTCTTTTGGCCCTCCAGCACCACGCGTCTCGCGTACCGTGTGGGATTTGAAGTGGCAATGATGTGAGATGGGTCTTGCTGCTGTAGATCTTGGCGCTTGTGAGCATGACAGCCCGAAAGTCGCCGTTTCCGTGCTTTGTGGGGCAAAACGTCCTGCTGCTCCTCCGCCGGCTACAAGATCGCCTCTGTGTGGGCGCGTCCGATAGCGATGTTCGGCTCCACGCTCAGCGACTGGCCGACCAGAGCTGCAACAGTCTGCGCACCCGTCTGTACGTTGCGTCTTTGACAACACAAAAGAGACATGGGTTCTGTTCTCTAGGTACGACCGGTACCAGTACCACTCGAACGGGTATGTTAGTTGATTTCTTTATGAATATATGTATATTTACCGATGGACACTATTGACCACATGCGCGACGACATGTTTCCGTCAACGACGAGCGCGTCACGAGATTGTTTCAAGTTGAAAGACTGCATTTGGGGCCACTCGTTTCAAGGGACCAGGTCCTTGGCAACAAAACGATCATGCTTGTAGCCCTGGATCGTCATGCGCTGGTTGGCCATGTCCGTGTAGGTTTCGGAGACGTTGCTCCAGAAGGTCTGGACCTGGCGGACTGCGTCGTCCAGCGGGATTGGTGGTGGCTGCGACGCCATGAAGAGGATTCGGCAAATGTCGACAGGCGGCGAGATGCCAAGTTCAAGTCTCTCGATATTGGATACCTCTGGAATGTAGTATAGTATTTCGGCTTCTTAGTTATCTTAAAATGGACGTTCTTCGTCCAACTAGCCATTGTACTACGTTGCGAATGGACGCTATTCGTCCATGACGCAATGTGGAGGTGCGATCTGAACTTGGTCGAATTTCTGGGCTCAAGAGTCGTCGGCCATGCGTTCGTAGAAGAGGACGTAGGCGCGTTGGGCCAAGACGATGCGAGATGGCACGACCGAGACGAGGGCGTCGTTCATACACAGCCAGTCGTTGGACCGGCGCACGTACGCGACGTAGTGGCCACTGAGGGCCGAGGACCCGCGATGACCGACGAGACCAACCAGGCGGTAGTGCACTGCACCCAGCGCCAGCATCTCGTCCACAACCACATGACGACTGGTGTCCTTGATGTTGTAGCTGGTCGCGCTGAGAGTGAGGACGAGCACAGGCGGCGCGAGGAGCACCGTCCAGTGCTGCTCGGACGCGCCAAAGATATGGCAGCGGTCGCATGTCCGCTGGAGCGTTTTGGTCGCGAAGTTCGCGAGACCAGCCGCGACCGACGTCGTCTCTTCCGCGATCAATGAAATGTCCCGGTAGGCATCCGACGCCTCGGACTCGAGGCCGCAGTGGGGACAGGTGCTCGTCGCTGTCCAGTACGAGCCGAAAACATCTTCGGGGATCGTGGAAGCGACTTGGAGATCCGAGACGAGCCACGAGAGATACTCGCTCGCATCTTGCTGCTTCGAGGCCGAGTGGAACGGTGGCACCAAGGCTCTTTGGTCGCTGCAGTACGAGGCAGCGTCGTTGGCAAGGATGCCCGATACCACGCGTGTGAGGGCTCGAGCTGTGGTGGACTCGCTCTGCTGTGACAGGAGCGCGTCGACGAGTGCCGGCGTGTGTGCAAGGCACTGCAGAATGGCATTCATGTAGCATGTGTTGCCGAGGTTGGCAAGGCCGGCGTGGCTCGCATCATCGCCTTGTGTCGGCGACCGTGATACCGCGGACAAGGGTTTTGGAACGACCTCCTCTGACGACAGCGTCGACGTGGCTGCACTGCTGCATGGCTCCACGTCGGCTACCGGGAGGACACATGGAGCGTCTGTTGGGGTCGTCGTTGTCGATGCCGAGTTGAGAACAATGTCTTCGCGGCTGGGCGAAGCCAGTGACGTGGCGTCATGTGCGCGCGAAGCAGCTTCGAGATGCTGCACCTTGCTTGCATACTCGACCAGAGCCATTTGCGCAACCCGAAGCTCTTCTTTGAGACGGCTGTTTTCGTCTTCGAGAGCAACGATCACCGACTTGCAGCTGCAGGCAACGATCGCTACCGCAGCAGAGGGTTCGCTTGGTGGTGCTACGGAGCGAACGGGTGCCTCTGGAGAGCGAGTGGGCTTGATGAACGCTGGAGAGGGCTGCGGCGCCGACGATGACGGCTTGACCGTGCGTGTTCTTGTGGTAGGTGCGAGGACCGTCGGCACGCGTGCTGCTTGAGGAGGCACTGGCTTGGCCGGAAGCGTCGGCTTGACGGGTGCTTTCGTGGTTGAACGCTTGGCTGCAACCGGTGCGGTCGTTGGCTTGGCAGGTACGACACGCTTCGGGACCGGGGCACGCGTGGGCTCAGCGAGAGCAGACTTGGCCTGGCGACGCATCTCGCCGCGGTGGAGATGCGGGAATTCGGCTTGGAACTTGGCGTCGGCGGCCGCAGCGCGCGCGGCGGCGACGTCTTGGAGGTGGTTGGCGTTGAAGCGGTGCATGGTGTTGTCGTGGTGCTCGTTGGGAATCGAAATGAAAGTGGCTGCGGTTCAAAACCTGCATGGTTGTAGTACAAAAGCGCATCGCTCCCATGCTTTTACAGCGCCCCTGTCGCTTTACGATGCTTTTACCAAGGCGATGTCGCTTCTTGTGTACTATTATGCAACATGGGGCCGTACCGGAAGCGATCACGTTGAGCGAGCAGCCACTGTAGAGTACATAATGAGCTACTCAGGTCGCTCCGAGAAAGAGAATGAAAACGACTGCTGCGTGCAAGCAACGATGTCGAATGCGAGCTTGCCCAAGATCGGCTGCAGACTGACGAGTGAGGGCGCCACGTCATCCATCCATCCGGTTACACTATTGTGCAACCTCGCTTAACCCTTCAACGCTCAACTAGGAGAGTTGCAAAAACAGAATCACTTCATGTCCATGCATGAGTGTGTACCTCTACCTTCTTGAGCTGACAGAGGCTGCCCCGGCCTTGTCGGTGCGCGTACTTGTCGAGAAAGGTCGGGGTCGTCTCGCCATGTAGCTAGAGCGTTCGAGTGGTCGTTGTAAAGTTGAGCAAGGTCTTGCGGCAACCGATAGCAAGTTGGCCCCTTGGTGTTGAATCTCACGACCAGATTCGGTACATGGACCAGACAGGACACATGGCGGCGAAGAGAGCCAGATGATCCCGTGCCACAATCACCGCGAACTTCCAATAGCTGTCGACGCGCCGAGTGGCTTACGGCCTAGCCGCCGCTTCGCCTTAGCTTGCGTCCATTGCTGTACGAATGCATTCGCATAGTCGAAGATATCTCTCTCCTACCAGACGCATGCCTGGACGCTGACCTTAGCCTGGCCATGCCACGCTACCGACGTTGTCCAACAGTCGCCGCGCGCCACAGCGATGCTTTGAGCTTATGTGGGTCGTCCACGAAGCACTGGTTGCATGGTAGCTCGATCGCTGCCTCGGGGCCCTCGCAGCCGCCTCGCGCTCGCACTTGGCGAGCGTCGCGTACGACGACCTGAAGCTGCCACGCGAGGATTGGTGCACACTCGGCCATGGACTGTACTGCATTTTCATTGGCGACTGGCGTACATGCCGTTTTGTGATTGGTCGAATTGAAACAAAGTTCGGCGAAGCGGCCCAGTATCGATTCCAAACGAGAGATGTGGCAGTCGCTGCTGGGGCTGCCGGAGCCGATCATCAAGGCGTCGGCCGCCGAGAGCCGGCTCGGCGAGGTCGAGACGCGGCGCGCCAAGCAGGCCTTCACGCGGGCGTCGGGCCACGGGCACATGACGCGGCTCGTCTTTGTCCATAGCGTCTTGCGCGAGGTGCTGCCGAGCATGCCGATCCCGCTCGCGGAGCGCTTCTTCAACAGCATCAACCTCGACGTGACGGGGCACCTCAAGTACAAGGAGTTCATCTCGGCCATCGCGGTTCTCAAGACGGGCTCGATGCGCGAGCGCCTCAAACTGCTCTTCCGCGTCCTCGACTCGACCGAGTCAGGCGCGATCGGCAAAGGCGACGTGCGCGCCTTCCTCCTCTGGACCATGACGACGCCCAACGTCGCGGCCATCGGGCCGAACGGCAAGGTCTGGACCGCCGTCATGTTTGAAGCCGAGCTCTTCCAGAAGCAAGAGAAGCTCAAGCTCGAACCGTTCCGGACGCGCATGGCCAACCTCAAGGCCGAGAAGGTTGCGCTCCTCGAGTGGATCCCGGCGCTCGCCAACGCCTTTGTCTTCGACGAGATTGTCGACGTGCCCGCGTCGTCGCCGGCGCCGCGCTCGACGCGCTCGACGTCCCTCGTGCTGCCGCCGTCGGCTGCCACGACGCTCGCGCTATACACCTTGCCCAACTGGTTTGACTCGGACGCCATCGCCTTCCGCGCCACGTGCCAGCAGCTGCGGCAAGAGTTTGCACTGCACGACCTCGTGCCCGACTCGACGGTCGCCGACGCGTTTGCGATGCACATTGATCGCGCCGTGGTCACGGCCGTGGGTGCCGGCGGGGACCGGACGCTGCGCGAGTGGCTCACGCGGCTCGTGTGCATCCACCGGGCGACCGTCATGGAGGCGCTCGGTGCACTTTTTGACGTCTTTGTCGACCGCAACAAGACCCAGATCACGTCGCAGCTCGCCGACTTTCTGTGCACGAGCCATCTGGACGTCGACGTGGTCCTGGATCCCTTTGTCCTTGTGAGCGCGAATGCGACTTCGCTCTACGACGAAGTGCTTTCGTACTTGGAGAAAGAGTCGCCACCCGTCGCGTTCGAAGAGTACTTTACATGGCTCCAAGACTATCCCGTCGTGCTCTGGCTATGGCAGCAGCTCCTCGACGAGGTCCATGGCCGCCTCGCGACGAGCATGAAGGACGGGCATCTCCACCGCGTGCCGTTGGCGAAAGCGCTCCGAAAGCAGCCGGATGGAAGCCCGCACATCGATGGTGGTCTCTGGTTTGGGATCGACGCGACGTGGTGGCAGCGCTTTGTCCAGTGCGACACGCAGATGGGGCCATTGGTGCCGAGCGAGAGTGGCGTCTTTGTGAACCCAAGCGTGTGGCACCTCGTCAACCATTGGTTTCCGCCATCGACACCGACGTCGACCGTCGTGCGACTGACGTGCCGAGTGGACGGGGACGCCGAGATTCGCCTCGAAACCGAGCCCCTCACCGTGTCGCTCGTGCTGCAAGATGCGAAAACCACGTAGCATCTTCAGTTGATAGTGTCGGTGGTTTGAGATTTGTGCTGTGTAGTCCGTCACTGGTGCGATTGAGCCAGACAACGTCGATTGCCCGGCTCCCGGTGTTGCTGCGGGCCCACTACAACTTAGCCCCGTCGACGCCGTTGAGCGTGCTCTGGCGACCGCAAAAGTCGGACGACGCCACGAGTCTACCAGCAGGCGCGCGTCTCGGCGACGTCGCGACCAAAGGCCACGTGGAGCTTCTCGTGCAGTGTGCCGCGCTACTGACGCCGTCACCGACGGCAGCCGTGACGCTGCGCCCGTCGACGCCCGTGGTCGGCCTGAGCAACCTCGGGAATACGTGCTATATGAACTCGGTACTGCAGTGCCTCTTCCACACACCGCTCCTGCAAGAGTTTTTCGCGTCGGACGAGTACCTCTACGACCTCAACACGACGAATCCCATGGGCATGAAGGGCGTGCTTGCCGCCACGTACGGCGAACTCGCCAAGGTGCTCGCGGCGCTCGCAACGTCCAGTCGCAACAAAACGCGTCCGATCGCGCCGCAGCGGCTCAAGTTTTGCATGGGCAAGGTCTACGCATCGTTCGCGGGCAACCTCCAGCACGACGCGCACGAGTTTCTCTCCGTGCTGCTCTCGGGGCTCAACGAAGACTTGTGTCGGCCGGTCGCCGGCGCCGGCACGTCCAAGCCCTACATTGCCCTCCCCGACAGCAACGACCGACCGGACGCAGATGTTGCGTCCGAGTGGTGGACGGCCCATGTGCTGCGCGACCCTTCGATTATCACGGCCCTCTTCACGGGTCAGTTCAAGTCGGCGCTCGAGTGTGCGAGCTGCCACGCGACGTCGAACCGATTCGAACCGTGCTCGTTTCTGCAGGTGCCGCTGCCGCCCGAGCCGTTCCGGTGGCTCCAACTGCAGTACCGGCGGTCGTCGTCGCCGGCCCGTGTCGCCGTGCAAGTCCGAGTACCCACGAACGGGACGATCACGGATGTGCTTAAGGAGCTCGACAGTCTCTTTCCCGAGTCGGCGGCCGCCGAGCACAAGGTGGCCGTCGTCATGGGCGCCCATCGCCTCGCCCACGTGCTCAAGCCAACGTCGTCGATCGCCGAGCTTTCGCTCGAGCAACTGCATGTTTTTGGCGTCCCCCGTGCCCGACGAGCCGCTGCCGACGCTGTGGCTCCAAGCGGTGCACCGGTACCAGCGCATCGTCCCGTTCTACTTTCGACGGCCGTTCCGCGTGCATTTGTTTGGCCACCCGCTCTTGGTGCCCATGGCCAAGACGAGTGCCGAGCTCTACGCGTGGCTACACACGCATTTTGCCATGACGCCGGCGGCCAATGGCCTCGCGCTGGTAGTCATTTCTTGTCGATCGGAAGGATGCTGTATTGTCGTGTAGGAAACCCCGGTTTTGTCTAAGGCTCCAAGCATGGAGTTTGCAATTCCGTCGCCGCCGACGACGGCGTCGTACGGCTTTACATTGCGGCAGGTGCTCAAGCCGGATGGTCTCTCGTGCGCGATTTGTCCGTGGACATCCCACTGCCTCGGATGTGTTCTGGACCCGAGCGATGGGACGACGCGCCTCGAACCCACAGCCGCCACGATGCTGGCCATCGACTGGACACGACGGTGCGACCGCGCATGTCCTAGCTCGTTCATCGTCTATAAAGTATCGATTGTGTAGATGTCTTGCCGGCGCGGCATCGTTCAGGAAAAGGCGGCAACGACGCCCGAGGCCTCGACGTCCCCCGTGCACCACTCGACCCGGCCCTCCAACTCGCTCGAGGTATGGATGCTGCTGGTCGAATCGAGCGTGAGAAAGGGCACTACGGTGGATGTAGGAGTGCCTCGAAATGCTCTGCTCGAGCGAGAACATTGAAATGGGCTGCGGCAAGTGCCAGACGT